TGCTGCTGATCTGTTTCATGTTGCTGCTGATCTGTTTCATGTTGCTGTGTTCATTCGTGCTCATCTGCTCACACAGACTCATGTTCGTGCTGCTGTTCGGTGTATTGTTTTTGTACTACTAGTGCGTAGTGTATTTTTAGTCTAACGTTTTTCTTAGGTCATATCTTAGATCTTATTACTGGTTTTCTTTTACATTTTATGCTTTTGTTGGATGGAACTGGGACCCTGTGTACACAATTTCGTTCCACCTCATGTACCACATGTGGTGCGAATGACAAATAAAGAACCTTGACTCTTGGATCCTTGAATAAAATACTGTAGAAAGATAAAACTTGACAAGTGTGACCACCAGATGCTTCTGACCCGCATGTTCATGAACTCAAACAGGAGTAAGTTTTGCACAGTGACTTGCATCATTGACAAAAGCGACGCCTCTCTTTAATCACCAAATTAAAATCTGGAACACTTTTGAAACGTTGCCTTAAAAACAAAACATCAGTAACGAGCTGCAATAAAAACATGTAGAATAGATGCAAAAAAAAAAAAAAAAAAAAGAGAAAAAGATGCTCGGATCATTGATGGAAGAACCGTGGAAGGATTATTTTAGACTAAGGCGTGTTATAATTTGTCAGGCAGCTATGTATTCCTTTCCAAATTACATTTGAAAAGCCGTTCCCATCTCCCATCATTAAATCACTCTTCAGAGAAAACAACCACAAAAAATGAATGTTCAAACTTTTTGCAGTAGCGATGGGTACATAATTATCTATACACATATAAACAATATATGCAACTGGTGCCTTTTGCAAAGAAAATTACTGTTAAAGGACCTTTTTTTTTCTACAGATATCACAAATTAAACCTACTTTATCTGAAGAACCAAAACCACCGAGGTGTTTCACCAGATAAACTCAGATATATGACAGAAGATTGTGCCATGCTTTGTATGAACGGTTGTGAAATAAAACGGGTGTGTGCGTGCGGCCTCACCGTGTCGCCAGCTTGTGGCTGATGACTCCGCTGTCGGTGATGACTTCGCTCAGACGCAGCTCCAGGTGCACCTTTCCCTGCGGGACGCACAAAGCAGTTTTCATTCTGTTACGTCTAACGAGACAGAAACTCTATATTTGATCATTTTACTGAAGCTGAAAACAACGTGATCCGGTCTCCAAACCCCCGTTTCACTTTTATTTTGCTCAAAGTGAAAGTCCGCACAGGTCAGGAAGTAGTTCCCCACCGTGGAACAAGTGCGATCCTCTGAAGTGATCAGATGAATGACATAATGACAGTTTAGCGGTGCAGCTGTCTAGAAAAGCCCCATTAATTACCAGCATCAGAATGCAAACTCACAGGGTGCTTCAAGTGGAGGGAACAAACACACACACAGATACACACTCCGGCCAAACAATGCGTCCTCTATTGAAGCGAGAAGAGAGACACTCTTATCTTCCTACTTCATTTGATCCATCGCCTCTCTTTTCTGTCCGTGCTGAGCTTCTCTCACACATCCTTCCTCTCCCCGCCTCCTCGGATGAATGTTTCTCTGTTTCAGATCGCCGCTCCGGGGCTACACACACCCATCTGTCTGCAGATGTTACCATTCGCTGTGTGTGTGTGTGTGTGTGTGTGACAGACAGCGCTGAATAGTGAACAGTCGAAAACACTGCGTGTGTAATAAATGAAGCACGGCGGGACAAGTGACAAAAATTCACTCCATTCCAGATTCTGAATGTCAATGAACCAAAAATAAACAACATGAATTAAATAAGGAATTAATCAATGAATGGATTGATGGATGATAGATGGCTGAATGAATGATGGATGGATGGATGGATGGATTAATGAATGATTCATAGATGAATTAATGAAGGAATTAATGAATGAATGGCTGAATGAATGATGGATGATGAATGGATGGATGGATGGATGGATGGATGGGTGAATGATATATGGAAGAATGTATGGATGGATCAATGAATGATTCATAGATTAATTAATGAAGGAATTAATGAATGAATGGCTGAATGAATGATGGATGCTGAATGGATGGATGGATGAATGAATGATTCATAGGTTAATTAATTAAAGAGTTAATGAATGGATGGATGGATGAATGGATAAATGGATGGATGGATGGATGAATGAATGATGTATGGATGGATGATAGATAAAATAATGAAGGAATTAATGAATGAGTAATGATGGATGGATGGCTGAATGAATGATAGATGGATGGATGAAAGGATGGATGGCTGAATGAATGATGAATGAATGGATGGCTGAATGAATGATGGATGGATGGATGGCTGAATGAATGATGGATGGATGGATGGCTGAATGAATGATGGATGGATGGCTGAATTTTTTTTTGCAACGCAAATCTACGCTATCTATGAAGCTTACAGAACTGGCAGGAAAATCTCAAATAATCCTGAAGCTTCCTGAAGCCTCATTGTCCACGTGCACATCAACCTGGACGTGGTGGTGGGCTTTGTCTGCTGAACCGGACCTGAGCCCGACCAGAACTGAGCTGCTGGTCTGCAGAGCTGGTGAGTAAAATTTTGACGTACTGTACAGTACATATACACATGTTGTTAAAAGTATGTAGGTTTAAGAGTTTAGAACATTGCAAGAGTGTGGGAAGGGTTTATAAAGCCTTAAAAAAAAAAAAAAATATATATATATATATATATCACACCTATATTTCACCTTTTCACTATATTTTGTATAAACCATGAAGTTTATAACCATAATTCACTGCACATTTAGAATAACTCCATGCTCTTGATGCTGACTGGATGAAAGTTTTGGCGCATGTAATTTAAAATTCACCCATTTTTAAATTGCAACATGCAAACTCCACCCAGAAAAGCCCCCCCGGTCTGGGGGCTTTTCTGGGTGGAGTTTCATGTTCTCTCCGTGCATGTGTGGGTTTTCTCCGGGTACTCCGGTTTTCTCCCACAGACCAAAAACATGCATGTTAGGCTGATTGGTGACTCTAAATTGTCTCTAGGTGTGAGTGAGAGAGTGAATGGTTGTCTCGTTTGTCTCTATGTGTCCCTTTGATGGACTGGAGACCTGTCCAGGGTGTCCCCTGCCTCTCGCACAGTGATAGCTGGATATGGACACCGGCGACCCAAAAAGGAAGAAGCGAGTAAAGACAATGGTTGTTTGGATGGATCCATTGTTAAAGAAACTAAACAACAGAAATGAAACTGCTTTGCTTTGATAAAAGTGCCACTGTGTCTCGTCTCATGGCACCAACCTGAACTTCTGAGTCAGCGCTGACGGGCTGCAGCTGGAACCAGGTGTCTTTCCCGTGATATTTCTGCAGGTCCTCTCTTTTCACGGCGACCTTACCTACACACACACAGACAAAACAAGCTCAAAACACAACTCGGAAAGAGCCTACGTGTTCATGTGTACAGTCTGATGCACACACACACACATCTGCTGTAAATCCACACAACATCCATCTCTTTTTACACACGCAGGCACCTGGAGAAGAAACACACACACCATGTGCTTCGGTGGCCTGGAGATAACCTCTAGAAGTTTAGCAACACCTGCGATTGTTGGCGCTCTCTCACACACACACACACACACACACACAGGCAGGAGGTGCAGAGGTGTACGTTTTACAGTTTGTGGTGAGTGATCAAACCCACCGAAACGTTCACACCGACACACCCAGGAACACTGGAGGAAACATCAACACACACACACACGTCTACCTTAGGTAAACATTTTTACCATCCCTTTAAAGACAGGAGCAAACACTGCAAAGGCAGCTTCTAAATAAATATGTTTTGAATAAATCTGAACGTCATATTTTGGGTCTTCAGCTGTGAAAAAGCATCAACTCTAACAACAGGGCGAGGTTCCCACATCTTCTGAATGATGTGCACAAGCTTTCATGCGGCGCTTCTTTTCTCTAATATCTCTAAAAGGAATGCACGTTTGCATTGTCCTTGCCATTATCTTAGACTGGGATCATCTTACGCTGAGAAATGACCCATACTCCCACACCAAACTTTAACTCATTTTCTGTAAAACTGACCGGGTTACAGCCATTTTTGTGTTCGCCACGGTTAACTAGCTGTGGTGGCCATCTTGGATTGGAATGACTCCAAAAGTTAATCAGTTTAAAGTGTAAATCCAATGATAACCTTCTGAAAATGTCATTAAAATGTGCCAAGTGGTTCATGAGGTATTTTGCTAACAGGCAAACAAGACTGACGTCAACAGCCAAGATTTTAAGCAAAGATGTGCTCAGAGTATGAGCTGGGGATGACTCTCAGCTACTACCACATCAAATTTCAGCTCAATATGAAACTGGACGAGTTATAGTCGCTTTTTGTTTGAAGAGGTCAGTTGACTGTGGCGGCCATTTTGAATTGAGTTAACGCTGAAATTTAAGCAGCTGTAGATCCAATAGTTACTCTCTGAGAGTGTTACGAAGATCTGTCTACTGGCTCATGAGTTATTTTGCTAACAGGCACAGGACTATACGTACACACAGACAGTTATATTATTACCCACCTTTCATGACGGTGGGCAATAATAACCATTATCTCATTTTAGCTGCAAGTCTTTGAGCAACAGCAAATGTCTGGTTGCAGGTTATAAGAGTAAAAATACTTTTACACAGAGGACGTTCTTGGGTGCTACTTTAAATAAAAATACTAAAGTAAAAGCTTTTAAAAGTTCATGTCAGTATCCGCCTGGTTTGGATCCAGAACGTAAGTGAACCTGTAGGAACGTGCGAGTGACGGTTCCGTTAATCGTCCGAACACAAACCAGTCGATAGTTGGGACTTTTATTTATTAGTCCAATTCTACAGTGGAAAGATGTTGCCACGGAGACAGAGGCCGTTAGCCAATCAGAGCTGGTCGGTACGTAAACATTTAGACGGCCGAGACGAGCCACACGACTGAGCGGGCGTGTGACCGTCGTGTATTTGTTGCGCTCGTCTAAAGTTAACCCGATTCAAGATGGCCGCCACAGATTGGCAACAATAATGGCTGGAACTCAGTGAGTCTTTCAGCTATTGGGCTGAGATTTGTTGAGGTAGTAGCTGAGACCAATCCCCAACACATACTCTGAGCAAAGACGGATCAGGTGAAGTCTTTGGTTAAAACTTTAAAACAAATGCACACCTGTGATTGCTGCCCAGATATAAAAAATAAAGTATTTATACTAACAGAAAACATTTTTGTCATGACCGAGTATCAGTAGAGAGAGTTCAGATTCAGGAGTTTAGCTTATTTAGCTGCTTTTAACTCCACATTGTGCAGGTTTTTGTGTTTTGATGCGGTTTCTTAACAAAAGCTTCACCTGCTGTGTTGATTTGGCTGCTGTAAAAACACAGCTCAGCGTGTTCACGATAATTATTTTACTCTCTGTAAGGTGTCGCAGTAATGCGGTGAAAAAGACCAGAAGAAGGTAACTTACCGATACTGGAGTCCCTCCTGAACACGTCTCTGTCGAAAATGTAAAAAGAGAGGTGTCTGAAGCTACGTGGGATCTCGCAGTAGAAGTCCTCCCCGTAAAACGGACTGATGGAGAGAAGAAACAAGGAGAACCAGACGAGGCTCGTTAAAAGATGGATAAAAAATAAAAGATGGGGAAGAATGCAGGAGGATACTAATCTAAACGTTTAAGTTTTACCACCTAAAATCCAAACTATAAAGTTAGAAGTTTATATTGAGGGTGAATGTTATGAATATTAGGATCAAGTAAAAATGAGAAAATTATTGGTCTTTGTGTATTATGAGAAAGTATGAGCAAGTAATAACACGAGAAATGGTATTTTATATGAAAATGCAGTGTTAAAGTTGAATGAGTGCTGAAACTGTGCTGAAATTAGCTGAAAAGGGTAGTTGTTAATGTTAAACTCAACAGAACAACATTGAAACACAATAGATGCTTAAACGATCAGACCTCTAGCTAAAACCCAGTGGCAGACAAGCTAAAACTAGCAGGACACAAGCTGAAATGAGCAGAACACAAGATCAGAAGTTAACATGAGCAGAACTCTGGCTAAAAACTAGTTAAAATCGGCAGAATCAAAACTGAAACGAGAAGAACACAAGCTAAAACCAGATGATCACAAGTTAAAATGAGTAGAACACTGGCTAAAACAAGCAGAACAGTAGCTAAAACCAGCAGCTGACAAGTTTAAACCACAAGAACACGAGCTAAAATGAGCAGAACACAAGTTAAAACAATTATACACAAGCTAGAATTAGCAGAACAAAAGCAAAAATAAGCAGGACACAAGCTAAAACAATTAAAACACAAGCTAAAATAATTACAGTAGACACAAGCTAAAACAAGAACAACTCAAGTTAAAATGAGCAGAACACAAAGTCAAACTGAGCTGAATAGCACAAAGCTAAAATGAGTGAGACAGGAGCTAAAAGTAGCAAAACCGTAAATAAAAGCAAAAATCAGATAAATTGTAGCTACAAAATTATATTTTGTGTAACAGTAGCTGAAAGAATGAGAAGTTAAGGCTGATAGAAACATAAGGAAATAAAAAGAGAGCAGATACGATGAAGCAGATTTCAAAGACAGCAATGTGTGAGTTTAGATTATCTCCGTGCATTTCAATGGGGAAAATGTTGAAATAAAAATTAAATAACTCAAAAAGCATAAAAGTTACAAATATTAAAAGTCATGGCACATTATTTCTGATTGAGATGAAAGTTTTGACATTTTAAATGATTAAATTAATGAAACCTATTACTGCGTTCACACAATAATAGAGATAAATCGCAACTCTTAAATAAAATGAGGCCAACGATAATAAAACAGTACGGGAATAACTCTGAAAAGGGCAGGAAGTGATTTTTGAACCTCGGGCAAATTCCTGCAACTATCACAAGTGCCTTTTTTGTTTTATTTGTTTGTTTTTACACCAGAACCTTACGTTCAGCCTTTATTTTGAAAGGGTTACAAAGCAAAAACTATGGTCACGGGTGAGCTCAGCTTTACTGTCAGAATATGTACCCCCGCCCTTCTCCTTACGTTAATCCACTCAACCTGTGAAAATGAAGGAATATAAAGATAAAGAGGATTAAACCTGCATGCTTGCACATTTTTACATAAAAAAAATAGAATCCGATCAGTTCGCTGAGTTGTTAATCTGTAACATTTCTCAATTTAGTTTTTTGGGAGCGTCCTCAACCGATGGTCAGACTGTAGAAATGTACTATCACCTCGACTACGAGCCGTTCCTCCTCCGCCTCCTCTTTCAAACAGGATCAGTTTGGTCAATTAATCAACAAACGGATGGAAAATGCAGCCTGCCGGTGTTTAAGTCTTTCCACGAATCACATGAAACACGACTCCCCTCAACAACAGGTCCGTTTGTGACCATTAGCTCGAGGGCACGTCAACATCTGCGGCCGGCGCCTTCACCTAAATGACAACTGTAGAAACTGCAGCAATAAGAAGCTCGTGAGCCGAGCCCTCGGGGCTGCTGCTAATAATTACAGACTTCCTCCACAGCTCAGCAGACACAAAGGAGGAGCGGACAGATGAAACGGAAGGAGCATGACTGCGCTCATCAACAGTCAGATTAGATTAAATGATCTCCTTTTATTTTGATTTAATTAACTTGTTGAGAAGAAACAAAGTCAGCTCTATCAGATATACTGACCTTTAGTGTATTATAACTTTAGTATTTGAAATATTTACCCTTTATTTTCAAATATTTTCTGTATACACAGATTGTTTCAATTTTTTAAAAACATTGTCCTCTTTTAAAATTGTTGTCTTCTTATCCTTATTTGAGTGTTAAGCAACAGTTATTTAAGGTTTAGCTTTTAGCAACTGTTACTAATTTTAACTTTTAGCTATTTGCAATTTATGTATTTTTTGTGTTGATTTAGCTAATTTTAGCTTTTAGCTACAACTGTGCTAGTTTCAACCTTTAGTTACAGTACTGCTGATTTTAGCTAGTTTTGTTAGTTTTAACTACCGCTCTATTCCTTTTAACTTTTAACCACTGTTTAGTTAATTTTATCTTTTGGATACAGTTTAGCATTTTTTGTTGTTTTTTTATCCACTAGGATTTCACAAATTTTAGCTTTTAGCTACAGTTTTGTTAGTTTCACCCTTTAGCTAGTGTTCCTGGTTTTAACTTTTAGATATGGTTTAGCTAATTTTCCCTTTAAGCTGCAAATTTGCTAGTTTTAATTACTGCTCTACTTTTAATTTTTACCCAATGCTTTGATAATTTTTTGTTTTTAGCTACAATTTATTTATCGTAGTTTTTAGCTTTTAAATATGGTTTTGCCTTATTTTACCTTATAACAGCACTTTTGCTAGATTTAGCTTTTAACTAAGGGACTGTAAATGTTGCCTTTTTACTGCAGTTTTACTATTTTACCATTTAGCTACAGTTTTGCTAGTTTTACCTACACAGTAATTCCACTCATTTCAAGTTTTAAACACAATTTATCCCATTTTAGCTTTTAGCTACAATTGTTCTTATTTTAGCTTTTAAGTATAATTCTGCTATTTTAGTTGATAGCTATGTTTTTTTTTCTTCTTTCAGCTGCTCCCTTCTTCAGGGGTCGCCACAGCGAACTAAATCACACGAAGACTTGGCGATTTTTTTATGCTGGATTCCCTTCATGACGCCACAGACCATCGAGCTACCACAGCCCTCTGTGTGGAGCAGAGAGCTTCTATCTAGGGCGCCCGGAGGAGCAGATTGTGGAAGTTAAGGGCCCAGAGTGGGGCAAATGAGGGTGGAGGCAGGTGTGGGTGCTTCACCTATCCCACCCACATTTTGATGTTGCTGGTAACAGGAGTTGAACCGGCGATCTTCCGATCACAGGCCCACCTTCTCTAACCTCTGCGCCACCACTCTCTTGATTTTTTTTATCCCTTGCTATCAACCATAGCTGAAAGCTACAGCTACAGTAAGTTGTATCTTTTAGTGACATTTCTGCTAATTTTAGATTTTAAATACTGTATTTCTGTAAGTTTTGATTTTCCTCTCGTGGTTTGGATTTAAAGAACAAAAAATGGTGAGAAATGAAAAAAAGTTGGAAAGTCAAAGGGATCTTAAACGCACCACAGTGACTTCTCGACAATCTTGGTCCTGAAGACCTCCTCCTGGTCCAGGTTGACGGTGCAGAAACAGTCCCTCATCCTGTTTGGTCCCGGGTACGGAGGGATGTTTTTTGCTTCTCCTGCACAAACAAAAGGGAAGGAAGTGAGCAGGAAGGAGAGTCATTTAGGAGCACCGAGTTCATTCAGGCAACTCGTTCAAGAATTTTCAAAGCACAAAAAGGAAACGACATTATGTAAGTTCACACCTGATTTAGCTTTCAGTGCAACATGTCTGTGAACGTCTCGGCTCTTTTTCTGTCGCCGCTCAACCAAATCCGGCAGCGCAAATAATGAGCTTAACTCCGCCGAGGTGACTACTTTTACGATTGACACACAAATATCCGGCTGTGGTCTCGGAGACCAGGCCACAGTTAAGAGCATTAGACGTGAAGTGGGTTTGGTGTGTGAGCTGTCAGATCTGTGAATGAAAGAATCTGCGTGGGACGTTTCCTTAACTCTGCTGAGGCTCAATCTGTTCATCAGACGTGCGACAGAAAGCACTCCATTTCACAGGAATGTGGTCCAGCTACCCACAAACACACACACACACACACACACATTGCAATGATGGCGCTCCAGTCCTGAAGGACCAATATGTTCTGCTTTGTGACAATGTGGATCCAGTGGCCCACTCCTGATTCAGCATGCACTCTATACTTTCCCATATAAATCTATCATTTCTACATACTTTGTGCCGTTTGGTCGTTCATATAGCAACTAATCACATTGTTTCCAGTGGGGACAGAGGAGCTGCTGACATCAGCTGGAACATACCAGTAATCAGGTGCTCGAAGGAATACCTTGAAGAGCTCCTCAATCCCTCCAATGCCTCTTTCATTGAGGAACCAGAGCCATGGATAGGGTGGTTGGGGATCGACCAGTCAAAGGGGCAGCCGTCACCAACATAGTCATCCTGGGTATCTCGAAGCTATGGATGTTAGGACTGTCTTGGTTGAACTGCATGGTCAATGGAGGCAGTACCCATGTGGGGCAGTCTGGGGTGACGGTGTCCATCTTTAAGAAGGGGGACTACAGGATGTGCTCTTACGATAGTGAGCTCACACTCCTCAGCCTACCTGGAAAGGTCTACTTCTTGGTACTGAAGAGGAGAGTCCGGTCCATAGTTGAACCTCAGCCTGAAGAGGAGCAAGGTGGTGGAACCATGGACCAGTATTTTACTCTTGCTTGAGTGCTAGGAGCATGGAGGTTTGCCCAACTGGTCTACATGTGTTTTGTGAAGTTTTATTGACCTTATTCACGAGGGCATCCTGTGGGGGGTGCTCCAGGAGTATGGTGGGTTCAAGGTTCTTTACTGTCATTCACATCACATGTGGTACATGAGGTGGAACGAAACTACGCACACGGGGTCCCAGTTACATCCAACAAAAATTCTGGATAGTCCCCTTTTAAGGGCCATTCAGTCCATGTGCCAAGAGAGTGCACGTTTGGTTTGTGTGGCTGGCAGTAGCTGTATAATAATGCACTATCCTCATGTTGAAGTGAACCAGTTCAGAAACATTAAATGAAAAGTGGCATAAATCTGTGTTCTGTGGAGACAGAAAACCCTAAATTGTTTACTTAAAAGATAAACTTTTCTGTTGCAGCAGCAAAAAAATGGTTCAGATATTTGTGGCTAAAACTCCTGCAGCTGAAGACAAAAAGGAAACATACAGAGTTGACATTTGACACGGATACGCTGCTGCAAAACACAAAAACACCTCCTCGGAAGTCGTTTGTCCTGCTGTTATCTCTGGTCGTTGATTTACTGCACACAGTCCCATGTGACGCTTGAACCACTTCTACACTTTTATATAAAAATAAAACAATTTCTGCCTCTTTGGAAACATGACTACAGTTTATTTGGTTTGCTAATGTGGACTGGTCCTGGATAACATATAAAAAAAAATTATTCTTCAATTATAATTTTGTTTGACAACATTTTAGACTCAAAATTTCAAATTTTCTGTCAATTTCTGGGTATTTTTGTATAAACATCAAAGCCCCTGTATGTTTATTATAATTTAACAAGTTCATACATTAGTGCAATTTTATTATCTGCACATTTATGTTACAATATCACTGCTCACTGCAAAGAAAGGCGGGCAATCATGTTTGCGTCCATTTGCTTGCCTTTTAGAAAATATCGCATAAAACACTGGACACATTTTAATAAAATGTTCAGAAAGTTATCACTGAATGGAAGATTGAATTGAGATGGCAGCGACAGCCAATCAAGCTTAGCCACACGAAAACGACTAAAACATTAATTTTGCAGATATTGAGCTAAAAATTGGTGTGGTAGTAGCTTAGAGTAATTTTGAACTCATACACTTACAGAAATCTATACGCTTGTCAACTAATTGAATAATCCTGAGGGTAAAAAGAAGAAAAAGTGGACAGTTTAGCAAATATGTATTCCTTTATCTTTTTAGAAAATGCAATAGATTACAGTTTGAAAACACAGCTCGTTTATAATCCAGACCTGGAAAACACTAAAATTAAATTCCATACTTTTCCAGTCTCCGTTGGAACCCAGAACATAGAAAAGGTGTCATCACTGGGAAGGATGTGTCATCAAAGCTTTAACAAAACATGTAATTTAACGGTTTGGATAAAACCCGTCCCGGTTTGTAAGAACTGGACCCAGAAACTCAGGCGACCAAGTCAAAAACTTAGGATTTATGTCAGGTAACAAAAGTCTGACGTGGCAGCGGAACTAAGTTAGAAAAACTCGAGGAAACCTGGAGTGAAAACTGCGTGAAGATACAGACGTGGGCTGATGAGGAGTGGAAACACCTGGCGTTATTACAACTGGGGACAGGTGAGAGTGGGCGGGAGCTGAACGCGCAGAACTGACCGAGGAAAAAGTGTCTGAAGACACAGAGGAAACAAGGACAACACTGAAATGCACTCTTTGCTGTGGGATTTAAATAGCAAATGGTTGCAGTTTTCGATACACACATACATGGATGGTGGTGGCCATCTTGGATTTTGGCGTGGCATCCCAGTTTTTCAAAGGAAACTTTCTTACGCTTGTATGCAGCCCCACACCAAAATGGAAGTTGGTACCTCACTTGTTTTTCAAGTTATCATGCTCACAACACTGACAAACATCTAAAACCAACAAATACCAAAAACAAACGGACAGACATCCTGACAAAACCTGTCAGAGGGCCAAACCTTTAATCTGTTTTTTCTCTTTTACACATAATTCACTGAAACCCAGCAAACAAACTGCACATAATTTGAGTCAGCTGAAGGTTTTGCTAACGGGATCCAGTCTGCGTCCTCGCTGCAGCACTGGAGTCACATGTGAACTCCTGCTGAGACAAACAGCCGACGATGATCGTCTCTGGAGGGGGGAGTTTGGAACACGGCGGTGTTATGACGGCTTCCCCAGAGGCCGTTTCATGCCCTCGGTGAATCATTACACAACGAACGAAGCAGACACCTGAACCGCCTGACATGACGCACGCCTCGCTGCTTCGACTTGCAGTTTAAGACGACGTTACTCCTGCTTATCAAGCCACTCTGCTCTGTTATTAAATCGTTCTCTCCTTGTCTATTCTCCCGTTAATCTCCTTCATTAACCCTTTGCTTCCAAATCCCTTTCAATCTTTTTTTAACCCTCCTCCACGCTCTTTAATGATCTGTGACGTGCCTTGATTGGATCGCATCATTCCAGTCAAAACATCATAGGATTATGACGGATTTCTCTGTTTTTTTATCGACACAACTTAAGCTAAAAAAACGAAAGAACAAGAGAGCAGGAAACACGTGCAAATAAAGGTCTTGCATCCTATGAAGGAATGCACATCGCCCACCACATTTTGTGCCAAAGTTTTAAATTAAGATAATTTTATTTAAAGAAATAAATTGTCACGCACAGTGTGTGTTGGGAGTGACTCTCAGCTACTACCAGACCAAATTTTAGCTTCATATCTGCAAAATAGAGTTGAAGCCATTTTATTTGGTTTAAGGTCGGCTGTTTGTGGACGTAGCTTAGTTTTTATGCTGGATGGATGCCCTCCCTGACGCAACCACAGACCACCGAGCTACCACAGCCCTGTGTGTGGAGCAGAGAGCTGCTATCTAGGGCTCCCAGGGGAGCGGATGGTGGGGGTTAGAGGCCTTGCTCAAGGGCACAGAGTGGGGCAGGGTGGAGGCAGGTGTGCGTTTCACCTTTACCACTCACATTTTTGATAATGTCGATCTGGGGAGTTGAACCGGCGACGTTCCAATCACAGGCCCACCTTCTCTAACCTCTGCGCCACTACTCCAATCCCCAACACATAAGCTCAAACAGATTGAACAAAATCTGTTTTTTTTTTTTTTATGAAGCTTTAAGGGAAAAAAAAAAATCACTGGATGTACGGCAGCAACTGATTCACTTTTGGAGTCAATCCAATTCAAGGTGACCGCCATAGAAATTTAATTTTAGAATACATAAAAATGAGTGCAGTAGTCCCTCGCTACTTCACAGTTCGTTTATTGCGGATTCGCTCTATCACGGTTTTTCAAAATAAGATTGGACATGACACACAAGTGGATTGCTGGACAAGGGCACCGGCGACCCCCGTGACCCAAAATGGAAGAAGCGGGTAAAGATAATAGATGGATGGATGGATGGTTGAGCCACACGGCCGGCATGAAATTTTTATTTTAAATATAAATCATTTAAAATTATTTAGCACCTGCTGCACATTTGTGCAGCCCTTATTGCTGCAGGATGAACTTCCTGTTGCAGCTGATCAGCTGTTCACTGTGCAGAGTAGAGAAGTGGGCGTGGCCAAGAGCACTTGCAGGTGACAAAGAACAGAGGAGGCAGGGAGCTGAAATCATGACATGCTGTGCTCTTTTAGAGCTTTAGAGTTTAGAAACATTGTTTAGAATATTGCAAGAGTGTGGGAAGGGTTTATATATATATATATATATATATATATATA